TACTGAAAATATTATTTGTAGCCCATGGTTTACCTTTGAACCTAATCACCTGTTTTTAATACTATAAAGCATTGTTTTTGGTACCCAAATGTCAGTGTATGGCTTGCATATAAAACTTGTCAGATTTACTCTACGTAAGCATTTAAACATAATGATGACCACACCCTAAGAACAGTAATTGTGGGAGCCATCATACAGATTCTCAGCAGGTTTCACTGTTGTATTATCCAGGCCTCTTACATGAACAAAATATGGCAAAAATGAGACTCCTTACGTTTATGGGAATGGCAGTGGAAAATAAAGAAATTTCTTTTGATACAATGCAGCAAGAGCTACAGATTGGAGCTGATGACGTTGAAGCATTTGTTATTGATGGTAAGGTGATGAGAACATTATTTCTTTGTAGAGAACTCTGTGAAATAAGGGTTTTTATCTTGAAATGAGACTTATGCTAACAGACTGGATTGATAGCAAATTGTTTATTTAGAGCAGACCATTTATTTGTAATAGGATGAATATATCAATTATGTGGCCTTGGGTTTTTGTTCAAGAGTCCTTCAGACTGTGTTGTGATTAAGAGCACAGATATTTATCTGGGCATGCTAGTGCATTCCTATAATCCCAGCACTTGGGAGGCTGAGGCAGGAGGATTCCTACAAGTTTGAGACCAGCCAGGGATAAATAGCAAGATTCAGATTCAAAAAGATCACATATTTTAGCACCAGACTTGAGTTTGAGATCAGGTCCTCTACAACAGGAATGTGGGAATTATCTGTGATCCTGAGGATTAAATGAATTAATGCAGATAAAGCACAGGGTGTGGCACATAGTAAATGATCTGTAATGTTAACTGTTGCCATCGTTTTATAATTAGCTCAAAAAAGAAGACTTTTAACTGTTAACCAGGAATATTATTTCCCAAGCCTTACAATTTTGAAAGTTGGGGAGATTGTACACAAGTTTAATAAAATGTGTAAAACTGTTGGCATAGTCTCTAATGATTGAAGTCTCCATTAGTTAACCCAAACAAGTAATGCTTGTCTTAACGGCCATACCATCCTGAACACACTGGATCTTGCTGATGGCAGAAGCTAAGCAGCGTCCGGCCTGGTTAGTACTTGGATGGGTGAAGTACCTTATTAGGAAATTAATCCTCCCTGTATGCAATTGTAGGACAGAATCAGAATTCTATGTTTAGAGATAGGTCTTATCTCACACTGTAGCCCAGCCTGGCCTGAAACTCACAACAGCCCTCCTACCTCAGCCTGCCAGGTCCTGGGATTACCGAAGTGAGCCACCACACCTGGCTTTTGAGAACCAGAATTCTTAGTAAAAACTGTATTGAATAGATTGCTTTAGCAGCTGTCAGACAGTGTATAACCACACTTCTGGTGGCATTGGATTTACTTTACCTATTAGATTCAAAGAGCTTATTTTTCAAGTGATGTTGTAAACACTGTAGAGTTTTACTGTGGTCAGTTGGTCACACCTTAGCTGTTATTCTTAGACATCTTCTATGTAACATCATGTAAAAATCTTTTTCAGCTGTAAGAACTAAAATGGTCTACTGCAAAATTGATCAGACCCAGAGAAAAGTAGTTGTCAGGTAAGACTTTTAATAACTTGCTGCATTTTGTAAAACAGTTTCGTTTGTTCAATTATTTCACTTAAATGTTTAAAGAACCAAGGTGGTGGTCTGTTCTTATCAGTTGACTGTAGTTAATAGTGGCTGTTTATCATAATTTTATTAAAGTTCAGACTGAATGTGATTAGCTTATTTAATGAAAGAGTCCTATTTTCCAGCACATTTCATTTAATGGCTAAGCACTGGTTAGAATACTAATGACTTGTGTCTGCTTTATGTAATTGTTGAGAAGAAAAGGTTTAGAATCAATATGGTAAAAAGATTTTTTTAAAACAAGCATCTAATGCTTAAATTCTCTTTTAAACTTTAAATTATGTCTCGTATATTTAATTTTGCTTTGAAAAGAGTGTATAATTGAAATTCAGCAATTAAAAAGTTAATATTTCCTTTTCATTTTTAGTCACAGCACACATCGGACATTTGGAAAACAGCAGTGGCAACAACTGTATGATACGCTTAATGCCTGGAAACAAAACCTGAACAAAGTGAAAAATAGCCTTTTGAGTCTGTCAGATACCTGAATTTTTATGCATATGATTTTGTTCTTTGGGGGGAAAAAGGTCTAAATCATAGTAAAACATTATAAACTAACATCTGACTAGTCTGGGCATTTATTTTGTAAAGTTTAAAGGAAAATCACAAATTCTAGAGAACAAAGTAATAGGTTACAAAAGGGCTATTCACTTTGTCTTATTTGTAATTCAGGGGAGAAAGGAAGAAACTAACAAGTGCTTTAAAGGAAATAATATACAGAGAGGAAGACTAAAGTTAAAGAGAATTGGATGCTAATAGCAAGCTTGGCAAATACAAGATGGAGAATTTAATCTGTTATTTTTTCCAACATCTCTTCTGCCTTTCGTTTTTTAGGTTGGTTGTCATTTTCCAAGCCTAGGAGCTTTTCATTTACTTGGTGTGCTATAAGGCTCTGCCGATCATTGTTACCAGGAGAAAAGGCAGATAGGTCAGGCATGTCTTTAACCTTCATTGTCTGGGAATGGCTCTGTTGCACAATTGAAATCCAAGGTTCTGCTTTTACCTAGGAAAGAACACATTTATCTTACCACCAAGTTTACTGTACAAATAACATTCAGGAAAATCCCAGAATGTCTTTATAATTACATATGTTAATAAAGCCACCTTGTGGCTGATTTATAATTAGTTTAATAATTTTGGCCACAACGATCTACAATGTGAATTGGTAGATTTAATGTAGTAGGTTTTGAAATGCTAATCTATTTCAGAGATAACAAATGTTTTCCAAAAGATCTTGTTTATGGTGAAATAAATTTAGAACTATGCACATAAACATTTGCCTTCTACACCCTTCCCAAACTCTAAACCTGCCTTTCCTATCATGCACCATTATTGAAGAAAAGGAAGGAGCAATGAGGTTTGTAGAAGCTGGCATGCTTCCAAGTCACTGTATTGACAGAATGCTGTGTTCAGAAAACTGACCTTTTCATTTTAAGTTTTTTTAATAACTACTAAAAATTTAGAAAATAGAGAAAAATATATAAAGAAACTAAAAATCATTACTAATCCATTAGCCAGAAAGACAGTATGTGTAGGTATTATTGACTGCTCATCTTTTTAAAGCATATTTGATCATTCTATGGGATTTTTATCTGTCATGCTTTTTTCTGTGAGCAATTTCCTAGGCCATTAACATTTTTCATAAACAATTGTCAGGGCTACAAAAACGGTCCCTTTTATGGATGTGTGATAAAACCACGTCCTTTTATTAATGTTGAAGTTGTTTCCAGTTTTTCCTATCAAATTTGATATTTCATTGTTGGGGGGGGGACTTTGGTCTTCAGATAGATAAGATTCCTAGATAAATCTTTTTTCTTTTTTTGGTCTTTTTTGAGACAGGGTCTCCCTATAGCCCTAGCTGTCCTAGAACTCCCTATGTAGACAAGGCTGGCTTCAAACTGGAAGAGATCTCCCTCCTAAGTGCTGGGATTAAAGGCTTGCACCACCACGCCTGGCCTAGATAAATTTTTTCAAAGGGAAAATTAATACAACTAACAGTTACTGTGTTTTAAATATAAGGAAAATCCATTCCTATTTTGGAAATACAAAACAGGGAAATACATTAAAATCGTCTAAGATTTCAACTTAATGTTAAACATTTTGATATAACTCTCATATCAGTATATATAATTTTATCACTCTCTGCTGTTCTTAAGGTTTTGCTTCCTGCCAGGCGTGGTGGTGCATGCCTTTAAATTTCAGCACTCGGGAGGCAGAGGCAGGAGGATCTCTGTGAGTTCAAGGCCAGCCTGATCTATAGTGAGTTCCAGACCAGCTGGGGCTATAGGGAGACCCTGTTTAAAAAAAAAAAAAAAAAAAAGACCAAAAAATAAAAAGTTTTTTAAGAGGACAGCTTCATCTTATTTCGTGTCCCATAATTTATTACAGTGTTAAGCACGGAAATTGTAAAAAAAAAAAAGGAAAGAAAGAGAGAGAGAAAGAGAAAGAGTCACTTAGGCTATACTATCTTTTGTTCATTGTTAGTTCTTGTGAAGATCTTTTGAGTATTCCAGACATTAAAATCTTCCACTCTGGTAAAAATGAAATGTTAGCTGCATTGACATTTTTCCTGCTAATATGAAATGATACATGTTTTAATGAGCTTGGGTATTTAGAGTCTAACCCAGTCCCCATTCCACAGTCATCCTTTAGTCCCCTCTGCACTCAGCAACCAACCAACCAAGCAAGTCCTACTCAGTTTTGGGGGACCTCAGTTTTCCCATCAGCTTCTTTTAGGTTTTGGACATTATTGTAAAGTAACTGTAAAGTTAGCTATTTGACATGGAATAAAAATGTACATAAATGTATACATTTCTGATGTCTGCTATGTGCAGTCAGCATACCTCATAGAGCTCAGGACCAAAAGCTAAGGTACCACACACAGAACTAAGGATGGGGAAGTAGAACAAATCTAGATCTAACTCTGAAATGAAGTTAAATGACTCATCTCGATGATGTAAAGTTCCTATTTTTGCCACCAAAATGCTCAGTGTATTAAATAACCAAGCATAAACCAACAATTTGCCAAAATCTTGATTCTTTTGCTTTTTATCTTGACAAAAAGGCAAAACATTATACATACTTGCTTTAGTTTCCTCTTAACAACCTACATGGTAGGAAGGGTGGGAGCAGACAGGCTGTAGCCACATAGATCTAGTATAGGTCAGCTAAAGTTTGACTTAATAAAACTTCCCGTTTAACAACACATTTCTGCAGCCCACTGCAGTGATTAGAGTGTCTGCAGCCACAGTTGTGTTCTTCCCCATCTTAGTCTTTAGAATTCTTATCACTTCCCACTTTTCTTTCCACTTTGTATTCCTATAGCATAGTACAAGACCTTTCATTTCATCCTGGGATCAGATGAGTAAAATAACTGCTTACTCTAGGCCCTCTCTCCACCTTCCCTTCTGGATGCAGTCAAGACTGCAGCAGGCTATGTTCTTCACCAGGAACAAAAACCATCCTATCTGCAGGTTGCTCTGAGCCCATAGGGAAAATTGACACCAAAGTGTAATAGACTTGATATGGGGAGTACATAAAAATATAGTAAAAACCAAAGTTTATTCCTTTTCTGACTGTTAGTCTTCATAACATTCACTGTTTATTTGAAAACTGTAAAGCACCAGATGCTGTTCTTCGGCTTTGTTGCCAAATTGCTTCCCAACTACTTAATTCTGTCATTGAAGCACAAAAGCAGATCTGCTCTTTAAATAGTTCATTTACTCTCAGAAAATCCACTTTTGGATTGTTCCTATGTTCCATGATAATTAGAAAATTAACACTTAGCAGGGACGTTGATGCTTGGGGCACTACTGGGCACAGTGAACACTTCAGGGATCTCTGTTTTGAAAAGTTGAGAAAAACAATTTGACTCAAAACCAAGAGAGCTAGTGTAGGTACACTGGATGGTTACATCTACATGACCCTGAAAAGTTATTTCACATTTGTGTCACTATTTCCACATCTATAAAACAATACAGAATGTGGGAATATTATGTGCATGAGTGTATTGCCTATATGTATGTAAGTGTACCTGTATCAAATGCAATGCCCAAGGAGGTCAGAAGAGGCCATCAGTTCCCCTGAAACTGGAGTTTTGGACAACTGTTAGCAGCCATGTGCTGGGATTAGAATTTAGGTCTTTTGTAAGAACAGTATCTTAACTGCTGAGCCATCTCTCCAGCTGCGGGAATTTTTTTTTTTAAAGTAATTATGAATTGGAGATATTTAGAAACATTAATTGCAGGAAGAACATTAGGTATTAGGTGCAAAATGGAGTTGGAAGGAAAATGTGTAATTCTCGTTCTACCCTTAAAATGCTTTAAGGAGTGCCAGGTATGTGGTGCATGCCTTTAATCCCAGCACTCAGGAAGCAAAGGCAGATGGATCTCTGAGATTGAGGCCAGCCTGGTTTACATAGCAAGCTCCTAGTCAGTTGGGGCTATAGGGGGAAAAATGCTTGAAGGAAGGACAGACTTAAATATTTGGCCTCATTGACAGTGTAGTGTCCTGTTTTGATGGAAGCTTTCTTTTTGCTTGACTGTATGACTTGTCCAGTTGACCAAGGCAGCAACTTGTTTCCTACCACCGAATTTGCTGAGCTCAGTTATGAAAATGTAAAAAGGGTAGGTTCTAATTTTTGCTTCAGTTCTCCCAGAGGAAGAATTACATTTTATTTGAGGTTTCTCCGATTTAAAAGGGAAATAAAATACATAGCTAAAGCTGTTAACTTGTTAAGGATGTGGGAGTACTCTAATTTTGTAGTAGTAGAGAGTTGTTCAGTGTACCTCTTAGGTTTTAGAAGCTGTGGTAACTTTGGAATGTGTCGCCATGCAGTAGTTTCCTCAGTGATCACTGCTTACTACTACACCTTTCCTCAAGTATACCACACTTGTCTTTTTTTTTTAAGACTTTGAACAATTCAGACTTTCTTGGCTAAAGTTTAAAACGCTATAAAACTTAGAAATTGAACTGAATAACCTGTCAGCTATAACCATAGCTGCTTTTCTTATGATAAATGGACTTCTAGAAGTTATGGGATCCCTACAAATACTGTTAACACTGCGTCCACACTTAACTCTCATTGTATTATGAATATTTTATCCTTCCATGTGTTCTAACTGTAACAATACTAGATTTCTCCCATCACAGTTTCCAAAAATAATACAAATTATGCATTTAAAAACAACTGGGCTTGATAGTTTAATAATTAAAACTTCTGAATGTTCAGATGCCAGGATTTCTAAGTTTAGGTAATTTAAAAAGTAGAGGCACATAGGATGATGGTTCATAGTCTTCCCAAGCAGGCTGGATTATATCTGTTTGATTTATACACTGTGACTTTTTCCTGCTGTTTTCTATCAGCCTTAATTGTGAAAAATAGTGCCATGTTGCCCTCTTGATATTCTTCTGGAGATCACTTAGGTCTTATAGTATCCAGATGCATAAAGTTCTACACATATCTGTAGAATTAGCTCACTGAGGTCTGCTCAGCAATATTTTTAATTGACTTACATGTTTTGTGGGAAAAGAAGAATCATGAAAAGTCTTTGCACTTGCATTCCTGTCTTCACTGTGCTGTCTCTTGGGATCTGGATGGATCCTCCAGTTATTCAAAGTGTCAGCAGCTCTCTTAGTGCTGATAGTATCTGATTGACAAACAGGAAACAGCAACAACTGAACTGTATTCTCTAGGCACTCATTATAGTAACTGAACTTTCCCGTCCTGTGTTGGATTGAAAATCAATGTCTACTTCAGTATAAACCTTGGTCTCCTTACTTTCCTTTTGTATTAGGCATTTCATTTCAGAAAGTAAGATTTTATTGAGCACTTTCCTAAAACATGGAAAGGAATAAGATAGTATAAATACTGTCTCTTAAAAAAAAATACTGTCTTATTTCTCAGTTACTACATTACCTACACATGTATTTATATAATGACCATTTTACACATTCAGATTAATGGGAAAGATTAAACAAGATAAACACCGGAATTTACAAACTTGAGAAAAATGGTAAAATGCCGTTTAGAAAGCATCATTATGCTTTAATAATCAAATGACTTAAATACAGAACAGTAATAGAGGTTAAAAGATATGTTTAATACTTTATGAGGACTGGAGAGATGGCTGAGCAGTTGAGAGCACTAGCTGCTCTTGCAGAAGACCCAAGTTTGATTCCAGCACACGTGGCAGCTAACAACAGCCTGTAACTCCAGTTTCAGGAATTAGATGGCCCTCTTCTGACCTCCACAAGCATTTCACAAGACGAGTGCATGTGCATGTATACATGTATGTAGGTAACACACTCATAAAACAAAAATAATAAAATATTTTTAAAAGAAGTCTATTAAGCCTGAGAACCATATAAAGATTCCTTGTCATCTTGTATTTCTTCATTGGGTCTAAATTCATTAAATTCAGAACGTTCTGTTAAAATCTAGTTAGCAAGGCATGGTGGCATACACCTGCAATTTGAGCACTCCAACTCCAGCACTAGAGAGTCAAGATGATCAGTTCAAGCCAGTGAGACTACAGGGGAAAAAAAAAAATCTTAATGCCTCTAGCCGAGTGGGCATGGCACACGCCTTTAATTCCGGCACTCAGGAGGCAGAGGCAGGTGGATCACTAAGAGATCCAGACCAGCCAGGGCTACATACTGAGAGCCTGTCTCAAAAAACATTTTTTTACAAAGATTGCCTTAATCTCACTATGTGGTCACTATTAGCACAGTAAATGTTTTTTCAACTGTTTACAGTTATGTACTGCCTATTCATATGTAGAGTTTTGTGTGTATTGTATGTGTATGCTTGTTTGCTTGTGTGTAGGTGCAAATAGGGAGAGGTGCATACATTTGTGTGCACAAGCATGTGGAGGCCAAAGGCAGACATCAGGTGTCAGGTTTCTTACTTGAACCCAGAATTATTCAGCTGATCTACCTGGCCAGCCCCCTCCAAGGATCCTGTCTCCATCTCCTGCCACTGGGATTACAAGTGGGGTGCTAAACCCACACAACATTTTGAGTGCACACGATATGCAAATGCTGCTCCTCTTGTGTGGCAAGTGCTTTTCCCTCACTGAACTCATCTCCCCGCCCTAACTGGTAGTATGATTTTAAAAATCAAAATTCGGGTCAGGCGTGGTGGCACATGCCTTTAATCCGAGCAACTGGGAGGCAGAGGCAGGCGGATCTTTGTGAGTTTGAGGCCAGCCTGGTCTACATAGTGAGTTCCAGGACAGCTGGGGCTACTAAGAGACCCTGTCTTAAAAAGACAACAACAACAACAACAAAAAAAAAAAAAAATCAAAATTTGGGAGGCAGAGACAGGACGATCTCTTTAGTTCAAGCCCAGCCTGGTCTACATAGTAAGGTCCAGGCCAGCTGGAGCTACAAGGAGACCCTGTCTCAAAAAAAGACAAATAATAAAAGTAAAAACAAAAGCAGGGAATATGAACCTCACCAACCAACTTCAACATCTGTCAAATATCAAGTCCTGTATTTCATCAAATTATCACTTTATTTCCTTAGAGTATTTTAAGGAAAAGTTACTCGGTTATTTCATGTGCTAGTTTTAAAAAATAAAAGCCCCTCTATTCTTGGGGCTGAAGAGATGGTTCAGTGGTTAAGAATACTGGCTGTTCTTGCAGAAGACTCAGGTTTGAATCCCAGCACCCATATGGCACCTAACAACTGTCCATAACTCCAGTTCTTGTAGAAGACCCGGGTTCGAATCCTAGCACCCACATGGCAGCTAACAACTGTCCATAACTCCAGTTTCAGGGGATCCGACAGCCTCTTGTCATCTGTGGGCATTGCACAACATGGGACCTACATGCAGGCAATACAGGCATACACATTAAAATATTTAAAAAATGAAAAAAGCCCCTCTATTCTCTAACACATGAATATAGCACAGATACATAATTATTAAAGTGTTTCAAGCAATGACTAATTATACGAAATAAATTCCTCTGTTCCACACATTAATAAAATGAAGAATAAGCTGAATTTGTGGTGCTATGGAAGGAAAGGAACAGGTACAAAAAGAAAAACTGAGGGAAAGATAGAAGACTAATTTACTCTTAAAAACAAAAAGAATTAAGTTAGGTCTTTAGGTAGTTGTTCCTAATTTAAATGATAACCTACACCCAACGCTTTTGCTATTTAACAATGAAAAGAAGGGGGGAAAAAAAACCTTAAAAAGACTAAAAAGATCCAAATGTGACTAATACTACCTAGATTTAGGTTTTTAAAAATCCACTTCCAGCTAAATAAAACTATTTTTACTTTTACATATCTATGTACGGAGTATATTAGGTATAGGCAAAAAATTTTTTTTCATCTTAAACTGGGAATTTTTTTTGTCAAGAATAGTAGAAAATTTTAAAAAATTCAAACATGACCTTGTTTTCTTACCTGGCTCAATATTTTTTCTGACATTGTCCATATCAACATTTTCACAAAAAGTTGAAGCAATTGCATTGTTTTCAGACTGACCTACTGGTCTCTCCTTGAACAGAGAAAAGCCAGAAGTTGAAGAGCTCACTGTTTGACTTTTATTTTGATTTACTTTTGACCAAGCACCAGGGCCTAAAAACTTGATGTATACTGGAGTTTCCTTGGATTTTTTATCTGAAGTGGAAAGATCAAAGGTTGACCTTCCACTTCTGTTGACTGAGTCTCTAGAGGGCTTCGTGTGAGATGAATGTGATTCTTCTAGCTGACCTTCACTGGACATTTTTTCTGAAACTATGTCATTTAATGGCTCTGTTTTCTCCGTATTATTTGACAATGTATGCTGTCTTTCCTTAACAGTCACAAAGGAAAAGAGGTCATTTGTTGTAGTTTCAGTTATCTCGTTCTCATTGGAAAGCTGTTTTTCTGTGGAAGTTGTCATGGGAACAGCAATTTTTAAATCTTCAGATTGTGAAACATTGTTTTCTTGGTTAACCTGAAGGTAGGAACTAGTCACATCGTTTTCCAAAGATCCCTCACAGTTCTTGAATTGACTGTTTTGAATATTGTCTATATTTTTCCTTACAGTTCTTTCTGCAGAACTTGAGTTTTGTTTCACCAACATTGGTGTAATATTAATATTGTTTTCTGAATTCTCAAATCCTTTCAAATTATCACCAAAGACAGCAGGTGAACTGGGTTGACTAATTACTGTGCCCCAGGAAATAGTTTTCTCAGGCTTCTCTGAAGTATTACAAGCTTGTTGACAGTCTGAAGTTTGTTTAAGAGGTAATATGCTGCACTCACTCTCTTCAGTTAACTGCTGCATTTCTTTTATTTTACAGTGTTTATCATCTAACATAACATTATTTGAATCCTGTAAACCATATTTCTTACATTGAACAGGATTCATTTTTACTTCTAGAAATGAATCTAAATCTGCTTTGGATTGATCATGATTTGTAACTTCCTCTGTAGCATTCTTTTGATTAACTGGAAGAAATTTGAATTGCTGTTTGAATGGTTTACTTTTGGAAGCATCTTCTTGATAGTTTCTTTTGTGGGCCATCTCATTTAAAATGCTGTTAAATGATGCTTTGTTACTTTGAGTCTCCAGAGGCACATCTACACTTGCTTGGGGAAAGTCAAATCCTTCAGTTCTTTCTTGGCATATTTTTTCAACTTCTACTGATTTATCTATTACTAAAAAGGGACTGTTTGGTGATTTAAATTCTGAGCATCTATTGTCTTTTTCTAAGCACACTTTATCTTTTACCTCTCCAGTAACTGATTTTTGACAGTCAGTTACATTCAAGGTTTGTTCTTGACCAGTTATATCTCTATCTAGGCAGAGGGTTTTGTTTGGGGAGACTGCACTTTGGCTTCTGTCCTGAGGTAGAGTAGTATTCATTGCATTCTTGATGCTTTTTTCAGAAGGCTGTAAATCTGTCATGAAGAGAACACAGTAAAATGTTATATTATCACTAAAGTCTACTTTTATTTTTTAATACATTATTTTTATTTTATGTGTTTGAGTGTATTGCCTGCATGTATTTAAGTGCACCTGTGTTGTGAATGCCCGCAGAGGTCAGAAGAGGTTGTTGGATCTCAAACGAGTTACAGATGGTTGTTAGCTGCCATATGGATGCTGGGAATCGAACCTGGGTCCTCTGCAAGAGGAGCCAGTGCTCTTAACCACTGAGCCAACTCTCCAGCTCCTAAAGCCTTTTATTTTTTCACAAAAAAAATGTATTTAACCTTAAATGTATTATTGGCCACTGATCACAGAAATGTGATGTCAATTTTATCAATTTTACTTAAATATGAGGTCCCTGTAATAAAGCAAGTATATGTGTGTATAATAAATAATTAATTCTACTCTATAACATTTTTATTTCACAATACCAAAAGCACTTTGGTTTTTAAAAGGGGCAAGTAGCATGAGGTATGACAAAGTGGTTTTTTATTTCTCTAATAGTGGTTTCTTTTTGTACACACAATAAAAATTTCATATATACACATAGCTAATAAAAATCAACTTTTTAACAGTATACACTCTAATCTCTATTACTACTTAGGTCGAGCATATTAAGAAGTTGCTAGCTATCTTGTTCATGTTTGATAATCATCACTCCTTTTATTCACTACCCTGTATATATTTTTGAATTCTGGAATACTTTTGGGCCAACTCACAGAATATCTATTTAACCAAGGCAGTTGTATTCATTTTGCTTTATCTGTAGATAACAAATCATTAATATAGCTAAAATAATCTAGAATACAAATTTCAGATACTGAAGGGCTGCTTTAGTCCAATCATTCTTTCTCCAACATCTCCACCAAGTGGCTGTTCAGCCTGTGTTTGAACACCTTAGTCAGTACTGTCTTTAAGCACCTCTTTCATGATGGAAGAATTGGTAAATTATCAATTCAGTGGTTACTGAGGGTCTTTTGAATCAAGAAAAATGCTATAGTGTGCATCAGAAATATACTGGTGACCCAGAGAACACTCTCAGCAAAGAACTGAGCATAAAAAACAATGCAAAAAAAAAAAAAACCCAAAACAAACAAACAAAAAACAAAGAATTAAGAATTGAAGAGACAGCATTATCACTTTCCCCAAATATTAATTTGTAAATATTGACTATTAAAGTATAACTGAAATGATGCTTGTTTGACATAAAATAAAAAAGGTATTTTTTTCCTACTTCACTAGAAGGTCCTTAAAGCAAAACCTTAATTGATATGCCCTAAACTCCATAGAAGGCCCATGATGGTGCTTTAACAGATCTTCAAAATGTGAGTTATAAAATGTTAGGTTAAAAAATGTGAGGTTACCATCTATAATTTCTTCTACAGGTAGCTCTTTCTTTTCCTCCTTTTCTCTGTATTCAATATCTGAAGAAAAACTCATATTTTTTTCCCATATTTCTTGCCCAGAATTACATTTCACTATGATGGTATTTTCTGATTTTTTAGCGGATAATTCACATTTTTCATTATTTAGTTCTGGAACATTCTAGTATAAAATGAAAAAAATAGTTAAACACTTATGCAAACTTTGCTGATAAAAGTGGAATCTGTATTTCAATTCAACCATTCAGCAGTTTCTATTTGAAATACAAATTATTTAAGTTCGTTGTATACAATCTATCACACAATACCACATATACATTATGTGCAATTAAAAAAAAAACCCTTTTTCTAAAAATACGTTAGACATGGAAGGCAATTTTGCAGGGAGGGAGAATACTGGGGCTAGGCAAATTGTTTGAATAGCATGTACCTATAAAACAGCAAATAAACTGTGGTGGCACATGCCTATAATTTCAATACTTGGGAGGCTGAAGCAAGAGGATTGCCAGGAGTTTGGAGCCAGTATGGACTACATTGTGAGTTCCAGGTCAGCTTAGGCTACAGTGAGAGACCCTGTTTCAAAAAAGCAAATGAACGCATCTTTTTTTTCCCCTAAATATTGAGCACATTTTTCCATGATGCACTGTACTAGGCTTTGGGATACAATAAGGGAACAAAATACCGTCCTTGCCCTCAAAACACTTGCAAGTTGGTTTGCAGATCAGAAAAGAAATAATAGACACCATTAATAAAAATGTAGGAAGTATACGGCACTGTGAATGTGCACAGGAGCTCTCTTGTCCCTGCTGAAGTGATAAGGACTCACAGCTGGGGATGAGGACAGCAGGAAGAGAGGTAGGAAAAAGGGGAGCTGGGGGGAGGTAAATGCAGTCCTGTTATAACCTAATCTCAGAAGTGACATTCATCACTTTTTGTTATACAATTAATTAAATCCAGCTTTCACTCAAGCCTGCTTCCTCATCAAGGGCCTGAAAATTCTGCCAAGATTATATATATGAAACCCTCACAGCACATTGTTCCTCAAGTATTATTAATTATATTATTATTATCACCACCTCAAGGGACAGCCTAGGAGGTAAAACAGAAAGAACAAATCAGTGAAATATAGTAGAGAAAGAGAAAAAAGTACTGAAGGAGACAAAAATCAAGTACTTAAAAAGGAACTGAAAATTGTCCATTGGATGTAAGGTCCATTGGACAGAAGGTCTAGGGGATGTAGGGCCCTCGATGTACAGTCCATGAGATGTAGGGTTCATTGGAGGGGTTGGAGTGACAAAGCAAAATTGCTTTACATTGAAGGATAAATAGGAAGGAAGAAAGTAGAACATGAGTTTAATTTTTCAAGAAACTTGGCCCTACACAGAAAAAAAAGATGGACTGAGAGCACTTACAGATATATGTAGGAGATATTTGAACATGTTTAATTGCAAATGAAAACATAAACTAACCCCCCCCAAAAAATCTAACTGATAAACATTAAAATGTTTAATAAAATACATATTAAAACCAGTAAAAGCCAGGGCATGCTGGTACACATTTGTAATCCCAGCACTCAGGAGGCTAAGGCAGGAGTACTTCCATGAGCTTGGGGCCAGCCTGGTCTATATAGTACCAGACCAGCCAGGGCTATTCCCTGTCCAAAAAAAAAGGTAAAACAATGTATTAAGAGAGCATTAGGGAACAGGAACAGATACTCTTCTTACACATAATGGCTGGAAACATGAGTTGAAACAATTTGGTAATACATGTTCAAAAATATAGGTAACCAATCTCTTAGCTCCAGTAATGCCATTCGTGGAAATTTATCCTACAGAAATAAGCACAAAAGCACATAAAAATCTTTATATGGAGGCTGGAGAGATGGCTCAGCAGTTAAGAGCACTGACTGACTGCTCTTGCAGAGGACCCAGGCTCAGTTCCCAGCACGGATGTGGCAGCTAACAGTTCATAACTCCAGTTCCAGGGGATCCATTGCCCTCTTCTGACCTCCACAGGCATTGCACAACACAGGTGCACTATATACATGCAGACAATACACTCATACACATAAAAATTTTTAAAAGGATGTCTAACAACAAGGGCATGGATAAGTTTATTGTGACACATCTTAGTCACACACTGGAAACTCATACAGATTTACTAATTTAAAAAGAACTGCTATTCAGAAGGTATTTTAAAAGGCATTTGCTTAAAAAGTTAAACATATTTGGGGCTGGAGAGATAGCTCCGCAGTTAAGACCACTGACTGTTCTCGCAGAAGACCCAGGTTCGAATCCCAGCACCACATGGCAGCTAACAACTGTCTAACTCCAGTTCCAGGGGATCTGACTGCACTTACATACATGTGGGAAATACATACACATAAAATTAAAATAATAAATAAAATATGTATTTTTTTTAAGTTAAACATACTATGTGACCTAGCAGTTCCATTCTTAGGTTTACCATACGACCACAGCAATTCTATTCTTAAATCTTACAACTGGGACTCAAATAGAGTCAATATTCATAGCAGCACTATTCACAAGAGCCAAAAGGTGGGACTATTCTTGTGACCATCAAAAATGAACAAAACTTGGTATGTTCATACAATAGAATACTATTTCACAATGAAAAGAAAGTTGTAAGAGGGACTACAAATGGATGAAGTTGAAAACCTGATCTACTTCAAATAAGCCAAATACAAAGGTACAAATATATGATTCCACTTCCATAAATATATAGAACATAAATATATAGAATATAAAAATGGAGCCAGGAGGTAGATTGCTGTTTACCAGAAAATAAAGTGAAGGGGACATCAAGGTTTACTGTTTAAAAGTTATAAACTTTCTGTATAAAGTGGTGAAAATGTATAATCCCACCCCGCCCCCAAAGAAAATGTTGGGGATGAAGAGGTGGTTCACTGTGTAACAGTGCTTGCTCTCCAAGCATGAGAACCTGAGTTCTAATTCCTAAAACCCACAATAAAAAGCTGGGCATGACTGCTTGCCTTGTAACCCCAGCACTGAGTGGTGGTGAAAGGTGAATCCACAAGAGCTTATTGGCCAGCCAGCCTAGCCTAAGCATCAAAACATCAAATATTTAGCAGTTACCATTTCTGGGAGGTAAGATTAGAGGTGATTTTCAGTTTCATCTTTTTTTTAAATTTACTAAACTTATGTGTATGTGTATATGTATTTGCCTTTTTGAGTTTATGTGAACCATGTACATTCAAGAGCCTACAGAAAACAGAAAAGGGCCTCAGATCCCCCTGGAACTAGAGGTACAGACAGTTGAAAGCTGCCCAGTGTAGGTACTGGAAACCAAGCCCCAGTCTTCTGCAAGAGCAATAAGTGCTCTTAATCACTGAATCATCTCTCCAGTCCCCAATTTCATATTTTAAAGTTTCTATATTGTCTACCCTTCTTAACCTTAAAAATGCATGACTTACTTGATTTTTTAAAAAACCTATCCTCAAATTGAAAGTGAATGAATGATGAAAAGATCCATGAATGCAAGTTTTGAAAATTTTTATTAGATATAGAATCTTGTTATGTAACCCAGGATAGCCTTGAATTCACAATCCAACCCTCCCACCGCTGCCTCCTGATACATTAATTTTCACAAGCAATCGTAAAGTATATGAATGATTTGCCATTCATCACTGGTAAACCATCTTTATGGATATTAAAATAAGTATTTCCTGCTTGGACTACTGCAATATTCTCCAAGCTGTTTTCTGTAACGTTTTATCACACAGTATTCACAACATCACTAAAATAGTTTTGTTTTTTTTTTTTCCTGAGACAGGGTCTTATATATCCTAGGCTGACCTTAAACTCTCTATAACCAAGTATGAGCTTGAACTTTTGATCTCCCAATGCTGGGATTACAGGTGTGCAGTCCATACCCAGTTTTGTGCAGTGCTTGGAACTGAACCCAGGGTCTTGTTCATGCTAAGCAAGTACTCTACTAAGCTACATCTCCAGCCCTAAAACAATGTTTCCAAAAGTAAACCTTCCTGGAGCAGCACTCAGGATGTGGCACTCCAGAGGCAGAGAAGAGCTGATCTCTGTGAGATGGAGTTGAGGCTGGTCTATATAATGAGTTCCCAGTCAACTGGGGCTATAGGGAGACACTGCCTCAAAAACCAAAACAAAACAACAAAAAGAAAAAGAAATCTGACCACTTTACTCTTCTGCTTAAAATCTCAAAGTAAAGAGCAAACACCTATGTGTGGACCGTTGAACAATTTTTAATTTTGCCATCTGCCTCTCTTTTCAAGTTCTTCTGTTATTAACTATATTGCCAACACTCTTGCAACCACACTAAACTGCTTCTAGGCCCCACATGGAACAATCTTTCACACTTCTGATTTTTTGCCTATAATATTCCACCAACTTGATACTATCTTTCCCTGAAAATTTCTTATTTTTGACAACTTAGAAACAATTCACTTAGGTGTGAGATCTGCTCTGAGCAGCTCCTCCTCAAGTTACTTATTTGTCCTTCCTTTGTGCTGTGGCATGTATTAATCATATTCACCTTTTGAAAAGATCAGACATATAGCATTGAAAACTCTTGCTTTAAATAGAACTGCAGAGCTCTTAAAAATAACAGACTTCTCTAGAACATTCAACATTAATTCTAGCAATGCTAAAGTAACTTGTCTTTTAAAAAATATTTTAATATTTTATTTATTATTATAATTTTATGTGTATGAGTGTATTGCCTGCATGTATGTGGGTGTACCCATGTCATGCCATACCGTGGAGGTTAGAAGAGGGCTTCGGATTCCCCTGGAACTGGAGTTAAGGACGGTTCGTGGCCGCCATGTGGGTGCTGGGAACTGAACCCAGGTCCTCTGCAAGAGCAGTCAGTGCTCTTAACTGCTAAGCCATTTCTCCAGCCCCAGTAACTGGTCTTTAAACTTGCCTTTTTACTGTAACTTACTAGAAAAGTGGATTAAATATATGAAAAAAATCTTTCAGACAATGGAAAATAGTGAAAAACTGTTCTTTGAGAAAACTGAGATGAACCCCACAATTACTCAAGCTTTCTTCCTATGGGAACAAAGAGTGACAGAAATGGTAAGTATGAGATTGCCTGTGAAAGACATTTGGTCTAATTGCTATTTGACAGTTAAGTGATTACTTAAAG